TTCCTAATTACGACAAACTTACCCTAGTGGAATTTGTCTACATATTGGAGAGTCTTGATATCATAGTTGAGAATACTATAATCATTTGGCGTCAAACTCAGATTAAGAAACTTGATTGAAACCATAGAAAAATCTTATAAGTGTAATTAGCACAATCAGGGTTGAACTGTATATACGAATTTGATAACAATCATCTAAGAATCCTATCAGAAATCATAGAAAAATAATTGGTCTAGGATGGTCGTCCTGTTATATAGACACATGTCTTCTATCAGAGCCCGAAACGAATCGAGTGATTCGGCGTTCGGTTCGATTCGGCTACTTGCCGAATCGAAGCGAATTTGATTTTTTGAAACACAAATCAACCGCTCAGTTAAAACGCTTTGGTCAAGCTAAGCTACAGCGGCATCGTATAACGTAACAAAAGCATCACGTTATACAATTTTGTCCTTTTTTTCTGTTATAACGCTCAGAAACATATAATCGCGTTAGAAAGTGGAGCGTATAATATCTTTTAGCGAGTTGAGATGTCTAATCAAATTTATTTTCAAAGGTAGAATTTCGAGAGCATCAGAATGGATGTCGTACATAGTCAACATTCCCTTATTTTTTGCTCATTAATGCTGAGGTCTTTTCAATTCCTTGTAGCTCTACTGTGGTTGGACGAGAATTCAGCGTCGCTGGTCAAATTGTTAACCAATATCGCTCAAACTTATACTGACAAAAAATGGTTGGGTGTGGAACTTAAAAGGGTTTCGAGAATTGAAACTATTTATAAACCCTTTTTAGGTTTCGTAAGAATCGACGAAACCTTAATAAGGTTTTGTAGATTCGTACGATATGTAAAAAGGGTTTAGAAATACTTTCAACTCTCGAAACTCTTGTTTTTTTCCAGTGTAGATCCGTCGAGTGTCAACAACATATTATTTTTATGTCCGATCGAAAATAATAAATGGAAAGACTAATCATGCGAAGAAGATATTTCTTGTTTATATTCTTCTCGTTGTTTGTTTTATTTCATGTTTCAAAGTTCTAGTCACATAAATGATATGTTGTGCTCAAGTGTTCCAACTTGAGGCACTATATTTTAAACAAACGTTTGGAAACAAACGAGAAGCAAGCTTTAATTTTTATTGAACTGGACCGAACAGAATCTAATCGAACCGAATCAGGATTTCTTGATTCGCTTCGAGTTCTGTCGTCTTTTTTCTTCGAAATGCACCTCTTGATCGTTCAGAATGAAGAAAGAGAACGAAAGAAAAATATACAGTTTAGTTTAAGGGTACACCCTCCTCTCTCTGTTTCGAAAAAAAAATCATTTTTGTTTACTGCTGATAAATGTACATTTGACTGTCCTCTATCACGTGGATATAAAACTTTGTAGCCAGGGGCTATTTTTTCCTTCCTACAGGGCTCTGAGGTACAAGCCCCGTTGAAAATTTTTTTGGACGTTTTCAAAAACCATGAAATATAGAGGAATTCCTTACCGAAATCAAAAGCCTATAGGTAACTGATCGTTGCACATTCTTAGGAGCACTTTTCGTTTTTGTTTTAAGTTTTTAACTATTGCCGTTCACTAGTTTCCGAGAAAACTCAGTTTTTCATTGGACCACATTACGCTCCCCTTAAATTTCATCCGATCGAGTTAAAAATTTTACCAGAGGTACTCAAGATCATAGCGTAGAAGTAGTTTTTTGGAATTTTTTAAGACCTTCCTGGTTGAGTTAAAGAAAAAACACTGAAAAACGTCTCAAAAACCAAGTTTTTCAAAGTTTAGAAACCCTTTGAGTCGATAAAGAAAGGCCTAAAATAAAATTTGAAACATCTACCTCTGCGCTTTGACCTTGAATACCTCTGCTAACATTTTTAACTCGATCGGATAAAATTTAAGGGGGATCGTAATGTGGTCCAGGGAAGCCCGGTAGCAAAAAAATAGTTTTCGAGAAAACTAAAAAAGAAGAAGATCCATCATCGAAAATTGTAAAGTTACTTTTATATTTATTACCTAAAGTTAAGGACCTATAAGTAACCGATCATTGCGCATTCGATGGACATATGCAAAAACTTGTGCGGCATATGTGTTAGCGTATGTCGACATATTTCATACTACAAAACGCACTTTTACTACAGGGAACTGCGTTTTTTTGGGTCTATGCACCAAACAGACTTGTTCGGACAAGAAACTACGTGTTATAAGCTTTGAGGTTCTCCCGAAAACTTCTGAATTTCTATATGCTTCTTAGTACTTTGGCATGACGGAATAAACTTGTACTTTTCTTCATGCTTTATCCGTATATTACGTAATACACATTTTTATATTGATAGATATATTTTGGCATCGTCAAAGAATAAATAAGCATCGAAAGGTAAATTATAAATGGGACTTATATAGAGCGGATTACTCAACCGCCCTTTTCCTCCTATAGTTTTTTTATCACACAAATGAGTTTTTCCATATTGTCTTTTTATCGTTGCTAGTCGAGTACACATAGGTTTTCAGAAGTGATTTATGCTTTGTTTTCTATCAATAACATCATTGTCTTCATACTGTTTAGCTTCAACAGTCGAGGCGTTCTTCCGAGAAGCAAACATTTTTAATATCTAGCAAGAGAGAAAACAGGGTAAGACATACGTTTAAATTTTTTCAGTGACGATTAGTGTCTTACCGCTGCACTTTCCATTCCCAAACAGAGAACATATGTCCAAAGTAAAGAGAAAAAACTGTACAGGTATGAAAAGTATTTATCTACAACTTTACTCAAACCACGTCTGTTCAATCCTACGAAAGCTTCTTTTAACACCAACATCATATTCATTTGGAAACTTTTGGTTTGTGATGTCATAATTCTACCACCATTAGTAAAATGTATAACACTTTCACAGGTGAAACAAATAAAATTCATAAAATATACTAGATCAAGACGTTTTGTTACATGAAAATAATATGAGTCAGTTTTATCACATTTTGAACATTTGAACTGATTGCTTGTTTCTAAGTTCTAATACTGGTAATAATATTGACATTCGCGAATTCAAAAAGTTCTGTATCCTAATCATCTTCCTCATTAGAATTTATTTGTCTTTGTTGTTCATCATCACTGGGATCAAAACTTTCCTCAGAATTGGATTCATCATTATATGATTGTTCCAAGGTGATTTATTTACGATTTAGCTTTGTGACAAGAACAAACTGAAATTTTCTAAGAATCCAGACTGACTGAAAATAAAATTTTTTGTTTTCTTTCATCTATCCACGACCAGATACTGAACTTTATGAGCGTCAGATAAAGACATCAGAAAGAATATTTCGGGAAGATTTTGAAAGGTATGAACACAAAGTACCGAATGACTTGACTGATTTATTATTCAAATCTGATCCAGTCATACAATAAACTAGGACCTAATTCAAAAATCGGCGCTTGTCAGTCCATGTAGTTTCTTTTCCTCTTTTAAATAAAAAAAGAATGAATTCTCTACGACAAACGGCTATTAAAAATCTTGGGACACACTTCAGGTATAACTTCCATGTGGAGAAAACGCTGTATAAAAAGTTCAGTTTTAGGACTTCTAGAAAAATGCCTGTAACGTTTTGATGCAAGGTCAAACAGAGTTGTGCGAGGTCTTATTTTGATCAGAAACGTTTGCTCTACAAATCTGTGCGTTCAAAAAAATGTTAATTGCATAAGTATTCAGGAAAAAACTATTACTTGAAGACTGGGTTTTTCAATTCTCGTAGAAAACTTGCTCAAAATCTTCTAAAAAACAGTTTTGTAACCAAAAGCAATACAGATTCTGGAAGTGGACACTTCAGGCTATCTTTCCATGAGTTTATCTCAAAATCGATTTTTTAACCGAAAATCACCCTTTCTGAGGGGGAGGAGATCCTTAAACAAATTAAATGTTAATGATCAAGTTCTGGAAGAAGTTTGTTGGACCAAGATGACTTTCCGGCTTTCTCTGCGGGCTATGCTATTCACTGCAATGGGTTATAGACAAAATAAGTTAAAGAAGTGTTTCACGTTAAGAATGACCTACTGTTATTCGAGCGAATGTCACATTTTTGGAGATCATTTTTTCTGAAAGGTCTTTGTTTTACAGATCGCCAGGTTTCTGCGCCAGGAATATGATGAATTGATTAGAAAAGATAACGAGAAAAAAAGACTTTATATGTCGAATATATTTCTTATTCGACATCCAAACACAGACATCCATGGATGTCTGTGTAAGGGTGTCTGTGGTAGCTGTCTGTGGACCTGTGTGTGACTGTCTGTTGATGTCTGTAGGTGTCTTCATGTTTTACTATTACCCGATAAAATTTGGTAGACAAACACGTGAAAAGTAAACGTATGTTTCAACCAGGAATCGAATCTAGGACAGCGTGGTCCTAGTATCATTTTCAATTAATCGATTCTAGGGAGAAACACACCAGTTTGCAAATGAAATTGAAATTAGTAATTCTGTTTATATAGCATAAAATAATTTGCAGGTGTAGAAAAAGTTATTGTTATTCAGATCAATCATGTTTTGTTAGATTATGCGTAAGTGAAGACACAATTGTTGTAAATAACGTGTTAGCATTTTTTCGCGGATTATAACTCCCCAATGGCATGTACATCCATGACTAGTTTACTCCATTATATTCTCTTATATATCCTTCAGATCTAAGATCTTTCTTTAACAAGAAAGAACAAGAGCGGAGTTAAATAGTTAATGATTTGTTTGTTTTAAAACAACAAATTTCTGAAAACAAATCTTTAAATTCTTAAAACTCCAACAAGTTTGCCAAACTTGCTGACTATTAAGAACGATTGGGGCAAAGGTTTCTGACATTGAGTCCAAAACAAAAATGGTTGTTGTTGATTTATATTTCATCAACATTCAATATAGTACAGTAGCTTTCATTTCAAACTATTGTTCGTATTAGCAGCACACAAGCAGTTTGACTATCGAATGATAAGATTAGGTATCCAGTCGCTAAATAGAAACGCATTTGTTCAATTTCAAAGAGTGCTTTTTATTGTTAATTCATAAGGAGTTGATTCAGCTATGGCGACCATTGGTTGATAACGACCGATACGGTTAATATCCTTTTTTGGACCCCAATCTTCTCTTGGAGAATTTGCTATTCGAAATGCTTGCAAATAACGAGGCATGTCCTAAACAAGAATCAACATCGATACAATCACTGTAGAATGCATACGAATTTACCGACAATTAATACGCTTATTGTCAGGCTTACCGATGGTGTCGATGGTAAATCCCTAAATATTTGTATATATTTGACTAGATAAAATAAGGGAAAGGGTATTATACAAATGACAAATATTGTCCATCCAACACCAAGACTCCAATCTGGATACACATAACCGTCATAAACGAGCTTTTGGGTTGAAATTAATTGTGAAACTGTCACTACCTATGAAATAGAAAAAGTAATTACGATATTATCATTGCCAAATACTTCGCCGTAGGAACATGTAAAATTGCGTCGCATATTTGAACAGATCTTATTACTTGTTACTGTAGTCATTGATACGGATTTTTGAATCAGATTGTATTACAAAAAAATCTGTACATTAACTGGAGTATATTTAACAAAGATGTATGAATATGTGTATGACATCTTAGTTCCATCAGAAATGGATAAGAAATCAAGTTCTTCATAATTTTCAAATTGTAGCTGTTCGACATTTTTTTTGTTTTAAAATTCACTTACGAGGGAACCTTTCGAGATGTCCCCTTCCGATTCCAATGATTTGTACATGGATCGATAGATCTCAGCGAGATAGTAAATACCGCAAAAGGATTCGTGCCCATGACTCTTGAAGACCCGTTTTTCTGTAAAACTAGTTATTCAGAAACTCTAAAAAATAACTCAAACCTTTTCTTACTGAGGCATGATTGTAGTCCACAAATTTCTGATTAAAATGAGACGTCTTCTAGCTCTACACGACCTTTCTTTGCAAAGTTATAGAATTTATAAGAAAAGTCCTAAATGTTCATTGTCAGCTCAAAGGTACAGAAATAAGAAGAAATTAATTTAGGGCTTTTCTTATAAATTGTATAATTTTGCAAAGAAAGATTGCGTAGAGGTGGGAGATGTCTCATTTTAATTAGAAATGTGCGGGCTACAATCATGCCTCATTAAGAAAGGTTTTGGTTATCTTTTAGAGTTTTTTGAAAAATTGGTATTCCAGAAACCCGAGTCTTCAGGAGTCATGGGTACGAATTCTTTTAGAGTATTTACTACCTCGCTGAAGTCTATCGATCCATGTACAAGAGATTAGAATGATAAGGGGATATGTCGAAAGATATCCTCATTAGAAGCAGTGCAACGAACGGGAATAGATATACAGGTTGGCAAAAGTATTTTTCCAAGGAGATAGAGCTCAAACTACAAATGATATAAAAATAAATTATATATCAATTTAATGCTTATTTTGAATGGAATTAATGAATATAATTAGTAATCAGTATGATGATTTTGTTGTTTGTAGAATTGTGGAAGTTTCTGAAATTTTACGGAACTCAGGACTGGTAAAAATATTTTTCCAGGAGGTAGGTAGAATTCAACTATATATATTCATCATTCTTGTATCATTTGTAGTTTGAATTCTACTTCCTGAAAACAAATTTTTGCCAAGCCTGTAGACTTCAAAGGGTTCAAATCAACTTGATATACAGAAGAATAATAAACGACAGCTTTTAGAAACTAAGTAAAAGAATCTAACTGATCTACAGCGGTTCCAAAAGTGGATCATACAGATGTAATTTCGATTTTTTTCCGTAATGGTAATTGATATAAAGAATCCAAATCGTGATTTGAATAGAGAAAATTGTTTCCAACAAATATTTAAGGAAAATAAAATTCTCACTATATTCCTAAATCCAAGGTTTCCAGAAAACCCAAAACCTATGTTTTCAGCATCTAGAGCTAGATAATAAAAGTTTGTTTTAATCACATAGTGTGATACAGCAACCAATTCTCTACAAAATATTAGTACTCTCTAATTTCGCGTTCGAAAAAAACATTTTTGGGCCTTTTCGTAAAACTGATGTAGATTAGTCAAAAACCCCTAGAGAGCTCGGCGAGGTCTTTTGTTATAAAGTATTAGTTGCAGTATTACCCTATGTAATTAAAACGAACTTTTATTATCTAGTTCTGGATATGAATGCCTTCGGACTAAAATATCTGTCACAGAACTTGAACGAATCCTAGTCCGAAATGAAGATTTTTGTTTTTTCGAAGACTTTGACTTGAACTTGAGTTTTATATAGCTCTAGTCCGATCGGTTTAAGTTCTAAGATAAATGAACAAAAATTTTGATTTTTCCACTTGTTCTTGAAAAAATCTATCTCAACTCGTATTTTTTAAAATATTATACAAGTCTAGTTTCGTAAATTTTTCTGATACATTAAGATTTATACAGCACAGAAAATACGAGAAAAAAATCATAGCAATCAAAGAATCTAAAATACTATGAGCCTCAAAATGAACTTCAGACCTAAAATCGCCCATGGGCCCTCTCAGGCTCTTTGATATAATACAGGTTTGGCTAGATGACACATCATGCATAACATCAGTTACATAAATATCTTACCAACATTAATATCGGTGCAGTTATTCTCCATGTCAAAAAAAGATAATATTCTGCAACTCGTTTTCCAAGCATCATTTTGATATCGTCCATAAATGTATTGAACCCTATTCAGATGAAACAAACAATAGACTATATTGGTTCTATTCTGACAAAGATATTGCATTTAATGAACTTTCTTCTAAATACTTTTTGTGTTTAACCTGCCGTTTCCCTCATGAAAGTCTTTTGTTGTGCATTCGCACGGCTCTTATGCTCTCCAATATTCTATCACACTCAGACTCTTTATTAAGTAAGTCATGACTGAGAAACAGAATTTTTTCTTAAAGAGATATGTTTCAATGGAATAAATTCCAAAGAAAGTTCGCACGAAGATCATGGGATATATCACACAGTGGTAGATACCATAAATGTATGCTACGGCGATAACTTCAAATAGTCCAACCACTACTAATGATATATTTGCCGAATATTCTTGTAACAGTTCGAATAAATAGATACCACCCTAGAACATTAATAATAGATGGTGATTATAAACAGCACATATCTGAAATTTGATCATCGATTTCTGCTGTACTTACTGGACATGTGAGTGGTAAACTCAGGAGAAATGCTACACTACATGCAACTAGGACAACAAGGTACCGTCTATTGCTGAATCGAGGAAAAAAGTCGATGATAGCCGTTATAACGACATCCGTTCCCGCAAACTAAAACAAAAACATGTATATGATATTTCTCTGATAAAGAAGTGTACATTTGTCTACCTGTGAACCAAGTCCCAAAGCTAATAACATAAGGAAAAATATGACAGCAAAAAACGGTGCTGCGGGCATCTACAACAAATGCTAACGCTGATCATTGATTTGAACAAATAGTAACGTAAAACATACATGTGTTATAGCTTCTGGATAGGTGATAAATGCCAGTCCCGGCCCAGAACTATCCGCGTATGCCTCCACTGTTGTATTAAGTTCTCTAGCTAAAAAGCCAACTGTTGAAAACACAGCAAATCCAGCAAATACACCGGTAAAACAATCACATATAACCACAATTATGCATTGTCTAAGTAACGTGGAAGAAACATATTGTTTCGTGATCAAGTGTTGACGCTTCAGAAAAAGTTATACCTGAAGATATTGTTATGGAATTTATTAGACGAACTGTAAGCGATTAGTGAGCCAAAAGATAGACCTAGAGAGAAGAATACTTGGGAAGCAGCTTTCTGCCACACCTAAACGGGAAAATAAATAGAATAGATGGTTTCATCGAAAAATCATATCTTCCATGTCATACATCACTCTCAACTCAGTGCTTCGGAGCTCAAAAATTCCACACGCACCTCTAGTATAAGCTAAGTTTGATTCTTTATATATTGTTTTCAGATTAAGCTTAATTCGTTTTCAATCTGCTCAGGATATCAATTTCATATGTTGTGACAGATTTCGAGGTACAGTTCATGTTTTAAAATAACACGAATTTGTATCTTGATGAAACTTGAGAATGGAAAAGCAGATCTTGTGGACATCATGTTCAAAAAAAAGGAGCTCTGAGACGTCAGAAAAACTATATAAATTGAATTTTTTAAAAACTATCTTGGTTCAAATGTATTTCAGTTTTTTTGTGATGTTTTGATGTTACAAATATACCTTCACTATACATAGTCTTCTATTGCCATATCTCGTGTTTGATCTTTAACCCACGTGCCTCTGCTTGATTCTATAGAAACATTATCCCACATATGTTAGAGCTTTCTTGTAAATCAAACTCGTTTTGCTTTAGAAAAATATAGTCAGTGGAAGAGAGATTTATGCTCCGTCGTGAATACTGATTATTACCTGTTTTTCTGTTGAATTATAATCGTGAAAAGAACTTTACTCTTAGCTTTTCTTCAGATAACAACAACAGTATACTTGGGATAAAAGTTTCTTTTGATAATGCGGTATACATTTACAAAGTTGTACACTCAATCCTACACTCGAAAGCCTGTGAACAAGTGGCTGAAATACGATGCTTCTGCACATCGGTTTATGTACAGGCAATGATAAAACGAAAGGGTGAACTCTTAACATGACATCACAAAAAGAGGATTGCGGAAACGTCAAGTATGCTATAAAAATTTCACTATTAAGAGTTGAATACACACAGTTTATCCCGTAGAGGCCTCTGTATACGTCCATTTGACTCATCGTAGTCCAGACCTTCAGACACTATGACAACCAAAAATAAAAATCTCTGTAAAACTCATAAGACATCAACAACAATTTACAATGCAACTAATTTAGAATGTTAGAAGAGATTTCGGTCTGAAAGAACAACAACATAATTATTAGAACTTTTGTCAGTGGAGCTAACTAGCAAAATAAGCCGGTTCCTCTATGCTTTTTGATCAGACCTGATCCACTAGTCTGTTCCAGCAGACTAATGGAGCTCTACCTCTATCTAATGCTAACGACATATTTGTGTGCACTTTTGAATGTCCAAGTTCAAAAATGCAATAGATGCCGGTTCATATCTCTGTAAAATTGGTTTGAAAACGAAGCATACCGAGTTGATTAAAAGAAAAGAAAAGAAATTGTTTACGTACTTCGAAGTTACCAACAAGATCCCATTTAGGAGTAATATAAAACAAAACACCTTCTCTGGCGCCCTTAAGTGTTCCACTTTGTATTATTAGTATAAGCAAGACAATATAAGGAAATATAGCCGTAAAATAAGCAACTTTTCCAGTGCTCTTTACACCTATCAATTGAAATATGCATTTAAATTAAGATTGAGAACAGTTTTCACAATAATGAACTATTTTATTACCTCGAATAATGCATAATGCAACAATGATCCAAGCCACTAATAAGGCGGTTGTTGAGTACGCTCCTGGTGTTCCATAATTTTCAAAACCATTACTTCTGTCTAACACCAAATTACTACAATAAAGTCAAAAATTCCACTATTTTCTTACCAGGAGTTCTGTATTGGATACAAGTATGCGACTTTTAGAACAGTGCTGCACAGAATTAACCCTTTAGCCCCAGAGGGGATTTTTTCGAAGATCCAGGAAAGATGACTACTAGAGTGAAACTTTTAAGTGCTCACTATGCCGATTTCATACTTAAAATAAAATGAAGTTGCCTAGATGACAGAATATAGAATGTCCACAGGCGTGGGCATTAAAGGGGAACAACATGAAAAACGCAATTTTTTCCTTTGTGTTGTCCGAACTTGTCTTATCAAAATTCAACATTTTGAGAAAAATAAGGTCATCTTCGGAATAAGGATCAGAAACTGGATCGAATGACATGGATCTCAGTGTTCTGGGGAATATTTGGAGTTTGAATTGCTTTCGATTTTTGAAAAAAATGAAAAACTTTGAGGTCATTCAAAACTCCTGGCATCCATGCCATTTGACTCAGTTCTTGGCCTTGAATCTGAATATGACCTTGTTTTTGTCCAAATATTGAACTTTGACCGAGAAAATGACAAAATACAGGTCCAATTTCAAAGTTTTTCACATTGAATTCATAAAAATTGACTTTTTCCAATAACCAAGTAAAATTTTTCAAAACCGGTACATACTTTTCTTTCTCATAAGTATATAAGCGAGAATGAAGTATGAAAGAGAATTTGATCATCCAAATCCCAGAACTGGATAGACTTGCAAGATTATCCAGTGGATCTTTTACCATCCTGCTCGTCTTCAACGGTTCTCGAAGTCAATTTGAGTTTTAAGATTTCCAAAATCCATTTTCTAGACCCAGTTTTTGATGAGAGTAAGAAAAAAAATTTTTTAACTGAAAAATGTGTTCCAAAATTGTAAGATTAAATTTTTTCTATGCAACTCGATGTGCTCTATCCAACCATTGCAAAAAAACGAAAAATAAATTCTGCACCTTACAAGAAAAGAAGAGAAAGAAAGAATGTGTATATGTTTAAAAATTAGTACTTTGTATGTCATTCCCCTCTAGATGTCCACAAGTGTGGAGACACGGTGCATCAAGAAAACATCACAGAAAATTAATTTTCTTGTATAAATATAGAGGATCCTTGTAGCAATAGTTATCCACCACTACATCTGAAAATCTTTGTATTGTTATAGCTATGGAAAAAGCTTTTAAAAAAATTCAAAAATTTTCAACTCTTTAATTACAAAAGTTAATTATCTCAGTCAAGGTCCATAGAAAAAAAATTTCCTTTTTATCAATCGAGAGCTTATGAAGTCCTTAAGGTTGAAATAAAATCCGGTTCTAATATGACGCTTCCTTATTTTTGTATATCGATTTTATCAATGTCCAAGCGTGTGGACATCCGGGGATAAACGGTTAATAAAGGAGCACACAAAAAAATTACAAATTTCTATTTTGACATTTATTTGTATAATTCTACAGGAGTCTAAACTTTTACGAAAAACCCAATATAAGATTTCAATTTCAAATTTTTCATGTTTGTAGCTGAATCTTTTAAATCTGAACTATGCGTAAATTATTTAAGAAAGAATTTCAAGAAGCTGCTTCTGGAAAAGAAACTGATTGAACAATCAGGGTTATAATGAAATTATTGTGAGAGCTATCTTATAATACATGTGTACCAATGTGGAAGACAACAGTCTTATCATTTATTATTTCAGTTTAGATAATCAATGAAAACTTTGTAAAGAGATGTTTTCATTTCTCCCCTTCGCACATACTTTTTCTTACAGGTATCATAAAACACAAATGGGTTTTCATAGATTACAGTTGAGAAAACTAATTAGTATGTATATATAGCACAATAACTAAGCACCTTACTTACTTAAAGAATTCAGTTGTTGCAGGTTGTGATTCATCATTTGTTCTGTTCGTGACGCCTGAATACAAATACCAAGATTTTCGTACATGTGTTACTACGTTATACAGCATTAGGACATTTATGAACCTGGAATGAAACAATTGCGATTCCAATAATTATCGCAGCTACCCCATAGTAGATTTTTTCGAAACGATAAAACGAAGTAAAACAATGCCCAACTAATTATAACCTAAACAAATATATTTTATTGGTTTCACGGTAACTGATAGTTTTGTTAAGTATATTTCATACATTATAGTATAGATTAGATAATACCGAATTGATCACCATTGCAAATCCAATACCTGCTCGAGCACAAAATCATATTATAAGAAAAACATATGTAATGAACAATAAAATTACTATCCATTTCAAAATATAATGATCACGGTTACTTTTTGAATAACATTTGAAGAGAGCTAGCTACGTTTCTACGATTTCACATTATGAACGCTGACACTTGATTCTGTGGAAAAATGATTTAGGATCGATTGATGTACCATGGTGTACCTTTTGAAACAAAACCTGAGCTTGTTGTTTCAAAAGTCTGTATAGTAAAGCAGTGCTCTAAACACATATGTATATAGAGCAGATGCAGCTCTTCAATCTGACGCAAGTCACACGTCTCCATGTATCATGGCAATATCGGGAGACCCATCTATCGGCTAAATCTGAAATCTAAGAAACATATGGTACGTAGGTTTTCGAACATGCTGATTACTGCGGCAATGTTTATTTTACTATCAGAAAAAAGAAAGTTCAAAAGACGAATTTTCTGAAAAGTTCAATTTTTCACCTATGATCGTACTGCAATAAAAAAAACTCATCGAATCTTCATTTCTGCGACATCTGCTCTTTATCCACATGTGTCGGGCGCACTGCTTTACTATATAGACTTTTGGAACGAGAAGCTCAGGTTTTTGTTTTGAAACGTACACCATAGTACACCGATCGAACCTAACTCATTTTTTCACAGAATCGAGTGTCCTCTTTTATAATGTGAAGTCGTAGGTTCGTAGCTCGTTCTCTTCAAATGTTATTCAAAAAGCAACCGTGGTCATTATATTTTGAAACGGATAGTAGTAGTTAATTACCTCGCCATCCTCGAGCTAAGATAAATGAGCTCGATGGACTTCGACTAGAAAATTGCCCAAGTGCCAATTCAAGAAAATATAGTGGAGCACCAACAAGAAAATATATTATGAAATATGGAATTAGAAAAGCACCTAAAATGAGCAAGAATGACATGTATTGCTTCTCTTAAGTTCTCGTATAATCAACTGCATGTACCATGGATTTGTAGATGTGCATGGCTATGCACGAATACATGACATGAAACATCATAACACTATTTTCTGCATCTTTTAAGACAGATTTTGCCACAGAATGGAGCATTTCCGGTGCTGGCCATAACATGCCAAAATTTATTTTCTCCTGATATCATTTCCATCGTGAAGAGCATACAAAATTAGGTATGTCACACCTTTTTTCAGTCTGGAAACCTGAAACTCGATTAGAAAATTTGTTTACCAAACAGTGAGTTTCTAAATATGAGTGATTCGGGTGGTTTTGGTACCGTTATTATTCAAAATTCGTTTCAAAATGAAAGTGATCGCAAAGAGATTCTAATATCATAGATCGATAGAGCGTACTGGATAGCCTACGAAAGACTATGTATGCGAACTACCAGGTGCTTGTTTCCCTCAAAACTGGGAACTATAAGTTTCGGCAGAGTATTCGGAAAGCATTTTTCATCCTACACTCAGGAAAATAAAAAGTAACATCGAAAATGCGTTGAATGAGAGGTTCGACCGCCTGCACTGTCGAAGAACGTGTTCAGAAAGCTTCCGGGCGGTTATTCAAATGCTGGATTTTCTGGGAAAGCGTTTGTGCGCGGATTTTGAGAAAACTGAGTCGACCATTCGATTTGTTATACCAAAGAAAAGATTTTAGCAACATATACAGTGTGAACTCTTCTGAATAAAATGGAATAGGTTTCGAAAAGGTTTCGTTCAGACTAAACTAAAGACGAGACAGGTCTATAACTTTAGCTAAAACGGTACCATATTCATCGGAATCATTCATGTTTTAAAAGAGACACTTTCAGTATTTCAGCTACTATTATGCCAATTTCAAACCAATTCTTTCGGACGGCAACTCATTTAAAAGAGCGGAAAAGGGTATCGATATTTTTTATCATCAAATTAATTACTAAAGAGACAACACAAAGAATATAAAGAAAATATGTACAACCAGAAATGTGAACAGAACAGAAGTTTAATTTAATTTCTTGTAGTTTATTTTGATCTTCTTAGATCATAATGACTTTATCAACGTTTTAAATACAAACAATTGATTAAATTAAATTAAAATACACAAATTGAACAAAATTTCCTTTTTTTGTGTAATACATAGAAATTCCTGACATACATACAGTAGAGGACAAAACATGTATCGTGACTGCAACCTCAACCGTTAACTTTTCAGAGTTCAGAGTCGATCACAAAAACTGTATCTTGACAATGCATCTTTAACTTTTTCTTTTTATACTATGTTTTTCTTCTTTTCTTTCATAACTTAGAAAATTCTTGCTTGTACAAGTTACAAAATTTAAAAGAAAAAGAATAAGAAAGAAAGGAACCAAACCAAACATGTTGAAGAATTATATGTTAAGAAGAAATTTCTTTAGACTGAACCGTAAAGACAACTAATGTTAAATTAAAACGAGATTGTTCATTGGAAACGATGGGGGAAAACTCTAAAAAGTCAGCGGTCGCAGTTACCCTCACGATACAGTTTTTGTTATTTATTGTATGCATGTCAGGAATTTCTATGTATTATATAAGAAAAAGAAATTTTGTTCAATTTGTGAAGTTTATGTAAAATTCAGTTTCACATAGGTTGAATCTAGAATTTTCCTTAGAATGCAGAGTTCTAGAATTCTGAACTTTACATGCATGTAAAGTTTAACTTTGCATACGTGATTCTGCTGATACATCGATGCTCAGCTATCTATCTATAGACATTTGAGGAATATGATACCTTCTATAAAACTTTTTGTTTTACATTTTTTTTGCAAAAATGACTTTTTCTCCCGTGGGGTTTTTCTAAGAAAAATTCTTTGTGAAACAACTTGAGAAAGGACGAGTTGAAAACAAACATTTTATATAAAACTAATTGAACTGTCAATTAGGGACGAATCGAGGTTAAACCGTTTTTATTTCGATGTTTTTGTAAAGTACCGAAAATTCGATTACAATTTTTCTTTTCGTTTTTTTATACATGGTTAGATAGCGTGCATGGAACTGAGTAAGGAAAGCGGTTTTTGATTCGGAAACTCCTTCATTTTGTAGAAAATTCGCATTCTTTTCTTTGTCGTTCTTCTACCTTTTTGAAAACATCTTTTCAGATTCGCCATTCAAAATTGAGTATGAATCTGATGCTTGATCTAGATTGAAGTCAAGGATGTATCGAGTATGAACACCCTGGACTCCCCCTGTAAAAAGTTCATAAATAATTTTACAAACATATCTAGATTTTTTTGTGCCGATTGTTTTACGTCTTTAGAACCGCTATTAAACGTTACATCCTTCCAATTTTTCTATTTTTCTTCCTTGAAAAAGTATTTCTAAAAGAATTAAAAACCACTTTTTCTTACTAAGCTCGACGCGCTCTATCCAATCATATATAAATTAAGGGGGAAAAAAATCTTGGTCTAACCTTGAATATCCAGCACTTTAGATGCATAATAAGAATAACCTGAAAAAGTGTTGTCAGTTAGAATGTCGAAAACCGACTTGACGTAATCTACTTTCAAAAGCGCTCTGTCATACTCGGTATGTGCCAGTAGCAGTATACTGAGTACCCAAATGGTTTGGACATTATAGCAGAAATGTTGGATACCTAGACAAAGAGACACTGTTGAATGCGGGTATTTGTAGATTAATATGTTTCTAGGCCTTACAGAACTTATACTCTTATGCTATACGGAATGTAGAACGCTATCTAATATCTAAGTTGAGTTTTATACAATAACATAACTACTTATTTTCTTTCAAATCTACAAATAATTTCCCATAAATAACTATTACAAAGTTACAAGCTGCTGCTGTGACAAATTCTAACCAAACTATTTGGGTACCCAGTAAATACTGGCCCAGTATATCAGTATTTATACTGGTACTGGTGCATACCAGAGACCGAAACGCTTCAACCAAGTGTGACCCGAACCCGACTCTACCCGAATGTTAGTTGACTCGAGTCCGACTCGACCCAAATCAATATCTTATACGTTGGTCCGAACCCGACCCGATCCGAATGGACTCGAAAATTTTGCAACTGTCCGAACTAAATCCAAAACATGAAAATGTCTTTGTACACACTCTCAAAGAAACCCTTATTTCCTATAGAAAAGTTATCTTAGTCAGACTGTTTTGAAATTTTTTCAAAAAAATGATCAGATTCCTTACGGTTTTTGTCAGTTTTTCCTTGTATGAGTGGAAAAGTTTGGATAATTCAGGCAGTCTATTTTATATTCACCTGAGTTAGATCGAAACTGATCAACCAAACGTGACATGACTCGGTCCGACCCTATCCGAATCAATATCTTTTACGTTGACCCAAACCCGATCCGACCCGTTTCCGTCTCTGGTGCATATCTACGTCATACGAGATCGGATCTGCGAACCATTCTTCATTCTTCACCACTGTACACTAGATGAAGTGTTATGTACATAGCATAGAGATGAATAATGACGTTCTTTAAATGAATGGTCACAAGATTTGGATATCGCACCATTTTCATCATGTACTGTGAAAAACCTGTTCTACACCATCAACTTACCACCGCCATTCTTTGCGGCTAAATATGGAAAACGCCAAACATTTCCAAGACCGACTGAATTACTGATAAGAGAAAGGACGAATTCGACTGGGCTATCCCACACATGTTCATGTTCGCCCTCTTCTTGATCACTCGGCTATAAAACAAAATAATAGGAAATTTTTTTAAAAAAGTCACCAGACTGGTTGAAGGTAAAGTTACTAACCTTAACGGTTGCTTTTCTTGCTCGAAACTAAAATCAAAATTGTATGTTATCATCAAAGAAACATTTTCCTTTTACGATATACTCTACTGAATCCCAATACTGAATAGGTTTCTGCAACTCACTCATTTAGGATATTAATGAAAATTTTTATTAAAAAGAATAAGGCTCAAATGGTAAACATAATAACTAAGGCCCAATTATTGAAAATATTCCAAAAAGAAATCTGTTCAATCACCGTTTGGACTTGACTGTTGCTGTTCTGTATAAAAGTCACTGTTTACTGAAAACAACTGATTGTGTGCCTTAGCAATCATTATCTTACAATGAATAAAACAGAAAAGAGTCCTGAAACGTGTACTGCTCGACTACCAAAAATACTACACGCTTATGAAGATACTATAAAAGTCAAATGTAGAGTTGAAGAAGCACACATTGCTACCTAGTCGTTCATTGTTATATATACGTACCAACTGCAACATGTTATAAAAAGCTTGGGGTAGAAATTTATTCATGTACAAGTGAGAATGATTTCGTGTAGTTTCAAGAAACAGCACCTTTCTTACAGATACTCAGTCACTGTTGCTTTTTTTTAATTTTAATACACTCCTATTTATGAATATACTTCACCAAATGTCGAACGAAAAGGGAGATACAAGTAGCTGAAAAGCAGAACAGGGTGCATTCTGCATAATACATAAAATAGATAGCATTATCTGGGCTCTTTTTTGTACTTTTTAGACAAATTTAGATAATGGGCTCCATTCTGCCATTTTTCGGACTGTTTTAAATTCGTGTCCTTTTAAAACTGTATGTTCATCATTGAATCAACACTAGTCAAATTACCACAGTTGATGATAATTACAGTTATAATCGACAGTAACATAGAATAACTGTTAGATATATTTTTGTGTAGGAGACTTTTCGACACCGGTTATTGAACATTGTACTCAGTGGAATACTCTGATACAGTTCGTTAAGGATACAGATCTATTTGGAATAGTTGATGTAACTCTAAATTGTTCTCAGATCTCACGCAAATAATCTTTCTTTCAGCCTTACACATTATCTAATGCCCATTTGAAGTTCACAGTAACCCCCGCTCCATAATAGAAGACCACCTGGCCTTCTGTTTTACCTAGCAAGTCGAGTTTCTTCGTTTTTCTTTTTCAAACTAGTTAACTCTTCTTCTTTATTATTATGTATCGTTACTTTTATTTTCTTCCTCTCCTTGTAAACACAACATCATGTAATAGGTATAACCTGATTTGATCGTTGACTTGCCTTTCCAATAGAAACAGCTTACACCAATACTCTAATACAACACTGAGCCGTCGTCTACTTTCTTTCTTCGAGGTCCTAATACAAAATCTACTCATCTTTATCTCATGAGATAGTATTCGTAACTAATCAACTCCTATTTGAATAAAACATAATTTGAAGACCAAGCAGTTTGAGTGACGTCAGAAAAGAGCTTGAGAATAGCTTCTAGAAATTCACATCAGTGGAACCAAAAACTACATCGATACAGATTCGCAGAGCACGTACTGAGACTATTCAACTAGGATTACAGGCATGTTTCTCTTTATATGTCATTCAAATGGTATATATAAAAAATAAACTTTCGCCTGTATTCAATATATTGAATAAAGAAGTGAAAGTTTATTTTTTATTTGCCCTCATAAGTTGTTTGATTCAGATTATATTTGCTTTTGAAATATTATCAAACAGTAAATATATGATTCTAAAAATAGTGCCCTTCTTTCAAATTAGAACGCTTGTAGTCTATTATTATCATAAAACGCGTTACCCTAGAAGTGGAGAGTAGTTTTTCTGAGATCTGCAAATGCAAATACAAAACGAAGTGTTGTGAAAAGTAAGCAGTGCTGTTAACGTCCAATCAGTGATCATTAACAAACAATTTGTATAACATCTTGCAGTACTCTCTAGATGGTCATAAATGTTGCAAATACATGTATGATCATCTACAGAGTACACTTTTATCGTAGCCGATATGTCGGTTATCCACAAATAAAGTGAAAAACTGACGCTATCAATTTTTAGAATTGTGTCTGAAGAAAAATGTTCTGCAAGATTCTTAGACAGGCAGTTTGATTTCATTCAAATATTGAGTATTAGATGTTATTTTTGGGTACTTCGGCACAGGTTCGCCCACTTTATACACGACTTAAAGCCGGGAAGGTCTGATTATATGCAATCGATAGTCCTGCTAAAGGTATGGAAAGACCACTGTCGGCCCATGGAAAAATTATTCCGAACACGGTTTTTCATCGGCCATAAGTTCTGAATTGACGCGTTTTTAGGGGTGCCAGAACAGCGGAATCCGACCTTACCTAATACTAACAAGCGTTCTCATACTGCTAGCTTGAAAGAGCATACAAAGTTGCATATTTCTATCCGCAAATGAGATTTTCTCTCCTGACATTAGGAAAGAATTTTTGACTGGAGGACTTTAACTGCATTAGCAGATATCACTCGTTTTATAGCGCGCTGGACGAGCTCAAAACCCAACAAAACATAACTTTATTTATATTCAATGAAAACGGCTTCCAAGTTTGTTCATATGACGCAACAATGAAGTCTCTAGCGCTTTTTACTTCTTTATGGTAAGCGTAGCCGTGAGACCTACTTTGGCCCTTCCCGGTCTCCTCCCTCGAAAACTACCCGTTGGTTCTT